CAGTTTTATTCAAGACAACTCTGAACTCCAGTGCCTGACTCTCACATTCACACATTAAGATGAAGGGCATAAGAAACTACTCTTAAGACCTCCACCAACACCAGTACAGCAAAAGTGACACAGACACAGAAAAGCAGCTCAAGATTCAAACCCCTTCAGGTTACACTCCAGGCTTCATGCAACATTCTGCCATTTAAATAATTCAATGTCAAAGTGATTGACATCAATTCAGGTAACTCCACTTTATTTGCCTTCAACTTTGCCAACCTCGAAAGCAAAATTTGTTCTTATCCAACTTGGTAATATATTGTTTGTAACAGTAAAGTTATTTCATATAATTACACGATCCAATTTAATGACACATAGGTTACTTAAAGGAAAAATACCAAAAAAACCTTTAAGTTGAGACCAACCAGGGATCTACTCTACCAAATACTCCATGGACAGTCTTTTGAAAAGTTAATCTCAATTTACTTTTACCACAGCAAGAAAAACCTGCTCAGATTCTGGCATTTGCAAAAAATGGCATCAGAGTTTGGTGATTTATCACAACAGCGAAGAGCTACTTACTTTTTAGCTTTGTATACATAGGCACATCTTTTGCCCAAGTAAAATTCTGTCTCCTGGCGGGCATAAACCCCCTCAATTTTCAGAAGGGCAGTGTGCTCCCTCTGGTTTCGGAGGCCACGTTTGTAGCCAGCAAAAATGGCCTTGGACCACAACCTAAAAGACATTGAAAATAGTGACAAATTATAAATCACTCCAGAGAATTGGATGAAAAAATAAAATAATAATAAGGTGCTGTTTCAGAGGAAACTATTTCTACACTAGAAGAAAATTAGTTAAGGAAATAGTTTCATTTTGATAAGATTCCTACAAATCCTTAAAGCCAGTTAACGGAGAAAACTTAGGTACCTGGAGCTTGAAGCATTTAAGAACTTCATAACTGCTATAAACTTCTTGCACTACAGGCTTCATGCTAGGACCAAAGTCCTTCAACATTAGCGTGCACTACATTTTCAAATTTGCAAAGCAATGGGTAGGTATTTCTGAGATGGGTACATATTTCTAATATGCTACACAAACTGGACAGTCTCCTATATCACAGTGACTGCTAAAGGAGAAGATACTGACCAGTGTTCACTCTAACTCAGCTTTGCAGCCTCAATGGAATTAACTAGTCTCTGGGGACAGCCAGAAACACAGTTCTGCCACCCCATCCCCAGAAGAAGCTATATATTCTACTGTCCCAACGACTTTTGCATGACAATACGCCCTGAACACTTCAAGCATTTACATGGCAGACTCTCTATATATCACATAAAAACAGAACCAGTCTCTATGGAAATCAACACCTCGGCCTCATGTCAAAGGGAGCTCCCCAGCCTCATGTCCTACATGCATATCAATAAGCCCCTATATATCACAATAAAGAGACTCAGTTTCGAATCCTCCATCATATATATAATCTACACTTTGTGTATGAATAAAAAGTGAGCGTCACAACATCCTCCCACAGTATGAGGAAACCTGCTCTGCACCCAACCAGTTTAAAACATAAATTTAAAGCACGAGGACACAACCAGGGCCGTTTGAGCACAAGGAGACGGGAAGAGCGCGGCCCGGGCACTCAC